CATAATTCAGAGCAATGAGGCCTACGATCAATCAGTCTCCAAATAAAATAATACTAATAATGATAATAATAATAATAATACACAACCTGTGCTAATTGAAAGAAAACAAGTAGATTAAAAGATTGAATGAAAGATTTGGTAATAATTCAACATAACAATACATTTATAAGCAACGTTTTGTAAGTTGGCCATTTTTGACTGAGGACAACACAAGTGGCTCAAGGTGGGGAAAAAAAAACATTTTAAAAACTGCAAAAACTCGTGAGCAAAAGTCCATTGCAAAATATTAATGGGAAAAAGAAAATCCTCCTCGGGTCAAAAAGACCAGAACACAACATGAACATTAAATGAACTGCAGAACTCAAGTCTTGAGTAGTATTGTAAAATACTGCTTTGGTACTGTAATGATATTTAATGGTGCTATTTTGGTCCTTTTTGGTGACTTACATACATGCAGTCAATGTATGGAAAAGAGCTGCGTAAAGATTATTCATACTCTCTCTGTTTGGCTCCATAGAAGAACATTGTGTGAGTATTTCTTCAACTTCTGCATAGCTTCAAATGTTTTCTTTCTTCATATTTTGCCTGTAAAGCACTTTGAAATGCCATTGTGTTTAGTATATGTGTTATATAAAGCACTGCTGGCATTACTAAAGTCATTCCTTACTGTACACCTTACTGTACTTGTGGGAAAAAGCTTGACCAGCTTTTTGCAAATACTCAGAATTACATTTTCAATGGTCTCTTTACAACTGTCTCATGGATAGACTTCTGACAATGTGATTAAAGCTCGCATTAGCATTGCACTAATTAAAGCAGCATTACAACCTGCAATAAATGCATGAATCGGTTCACATGTGGTTCAGTTCACATATGCACACAAAAGATCATTTATGAACATCTCCTGTAAATGCACACACGATATATATGATGCTAAGCCATAAATACACAGAAGTCATAGATTGCAGCCATTTTTGTGCTTAAATAAAGGTGTTGTGTTTCATTAGTCACTTTTAGAAACTACTTAATTTTTTTTACCCCTACTTTATTATAATTTTTTTTTTGGAATTCTCACTTTCTGCAATTTTTTGAGCTGTAATCCCATTGGCTAGTGCTCACCTTTCACCGTCCGCATTTTAGTTTCAGCAAATCACTTTGGGAGAATATGGCAACATGATTAATATTCATGAGCTCAGCGGCTTCCATTAGATTTTCCAGTGTGTAAAGTGTAAGTTGATGCTGTTAAATAGACTAAAACATTTTACTTTTGAATCACTTTTAGCATTTTCTAAATCTTTAAACTTATTATTGTTAGTGTTTTGTGCACAGAAACACTGAGTGGCCAATAATGTCTCAAACACTTGCCAACCCAATATGCATGTTTTAGTTCTAATTATTTGAGTTCTATTATATACTGTATATAAAAAAAGCTTGATTCACTGACATATCTTAAATATGATTGTATCTTCATGAATAGCAATTTAAAACCATGTCATAATGTGAAGAGAGGCTGATGAGATGTAAAATTAGTTTCCAAAACACACAGTTTTCAGATCATTCATACAGTCTGTCATTAGTGGATACTTAAATGACCAAATGATTTTATAGTTTTTGCATTTGTGGATATGTTTAAAACCTTCGTTGACACTCGCGAGCGCAGCAGCACTTTAGTGTCTTGTTTTATGTGCTACTGCTGTTCAGTATCATACATTATTAACTGTTAAACATATCATTTAATGATACTGAGAGCTGCTTTGTGTGTTTATAGTTGCCTAAACGCCGTCTTACTGTGAGAGTAAGAGCTCCTACTGTACTTTACATCATTCAAGTTATGGATTGATATTTACGATATACGATATTTACAATATTCAAAATGAATTGTAAATTATATTTGCAATTGCATTTCAATCCGTGCATCATTCGTTTTTTGATTTAATATTGAAAGTAGAAAAATTAGAA